TATTGCTGAAAAATATAGGGTTCTCCTGGCTGTACACAAACTGTATATATATAGACATATTCTTGCTATGCGACAGTTAAAAAAATATGCAAGAACATTTTCCATAGACATATAAAAGACTGTAGCAGCGTATTAAATTGGATAAGTGTATGTTTTTTGTTAACAAATTCTGTTTTTTCATTTGTAAGAGGGAGAAGTGTTATTTTCCCTCAAACATGAGAGCCATTGAAGCCAGGGGTTCATTTACACGAGATTAGCTCATAACAAGCCTTGCAATCTTTTACTGATGCTATTGACAACATGCAGATGTGCACCAGTGCCATTTTGTTCTCAGTACAGTTTTATTTTGAAGTATGACAACAGCTCGGCATCTCTGCGTTTTCTGACGTGTAGGTCCGCTTGGATTTGGTAAAACTGATTTAAAGATATGGATTGGATTAAGTTGTTCCAAATTGCTGCATTTAAAAGACAGCACTCTGTGTAGGCTGCATCAGAGGATTTTTTCATGTGCCAGAGCATTAGATTGCTACATAGAGCAGCAAGAGTAAAGGCTTTTGGTTGAGTCACTGTTGTGGTACATTATTGCAGTGACAGAAGGCGGTAACACAATTTATTATGGTTGGGAGGCAAAGTCAATTCCCAGTTATATCCACTCAACTAAGCTTCTCAAATCTCAAACTGTATTTTTTGACAGATGCACAGCATACAGACTGTATAACATGTTTTACATTTCTGCTTTACTAAAAATGACATTTAATTGCTGGCCCTTCTTCCGCCTGGCTGACCTTTCCCAAAGCCACAACAATAGCAATAATTCAGAAAGCACATTAACACACTCAGATTACAGGTTACGTAATCAGAGTAAGTGATTTTTCCAACCTGGCACACGTCACCTTTTGATGCTGTCAGCTAAAAACAGAGAGCTTTGATTAGCGAACATGTCGGAGGGCTCTGTCCTCACTCGACACCCCAGCGAATAAAAGAGACCAACACAAGCAGGTCAAGTCTGCCCTGTCACTAAAGTGGTGTCCAAAAACTAGTGATGGCCTCATGAAGCCTCATGAAGCAATTTCTTTATTTTCTGAGCCCACTAGATGGCGTTCTTGGTTTAAAGAGAGAGGCTCAAAGAATAGCAATTCAGTGTGCTTTCAACCTTTTGTTGAACAAAAAGCGCCATCTAGTGGGCTCAGAAAGTAAAGAAAATGCTTCATGAGGCTTCATGAGGCCATCACTACCAAAAACTCAAGACTGGATTTACTGCAACACATTCTCACTCCTAACTCATCAAAGACCAACTTCTTTTTCAGTGACCCTACACGTCAAACCATGATGTCCTAGGCACTCCTCCAGCGTCCTTTTCAGATGTTCAGGGACTGTGCATCAATTTACACTCCTTACATGCATAAACTACCCCTTTTCACAGGAGATGTATAGTTTCTGCTTGTTAAATGCATGCAGCCCTTTTCTTAAAATTGGGTTTAGGCAACAAAATACGTGGTTAGGTTTAGCAAAAACATCACAGTTTAGCATAAAAATAAGTATGTTTGTTCCTAATGTAACGTTACGTCACATGGCATATAGCGCTAGCAATCACTAGCAATAATGGACTGAGTTTTGCTTTCACACGTGAGCAAATAGAGTCCTCCCGGGTAAAAGTCCAGAGTTTGTTTGATCTAACCACACCTGCCGGCTGCTGACTTTCTCTCTCTTTATACTACAGTAGTTGCTCAAAAGGCTTTTAAAAATGCAGCGGCCTGGTGCGTCTCGTGCCACTGCTAAAGGCTGTCTCTGAGCTTCAGTCTCTGACGCCGAGGGCTACTGACCAAGCGTCAGTATTTGACGAGATGGGAGTGAGACCAGGTTGACTGGTGTCATTGTTCTTTTACTGAAAGCTGTTAGTGTATCTTTCATGTGGCACAGTTCTTTATAAAAAGTAGAGATATGTGATCTAAACAACAGCAGGATCCCTGAAATCATATTTTTTTGTTCATGTTTTTACATGTTGGAACAATTCAATAATAGATCAGAACTGGAATTTGGAGTGCAGAAGAGGTCAATGCCTTGTTGTTATCAAGATCAGCATCAACTCCCCTGCAAGATCAACCCAATTGCCAAAGTAAAAGCTGGTATTGTATGTTCTGCAAACCACTGATATGTTGAACAAACACATTCTCACTTTGACCTCTTCACATATCGACGCTTGGTCATGGACTTTCCACATTGAGATATGACGTGCACGGTACCCTGGGTGTGTTAGTTGTTGTGTTTTGGGTTGCGTTCTTAACTTCAATTTGTTACATGCATTTTATATTTTCAAAATACATTTCCGCTTTCACAGGTAATGTACAGTTTTCATACAGTCTCTTTCAAAATAAACACATTACGTCGGTACAAGACTGCAAATTGATGTTTTTTTTCATCAACAAACGCACGTGGTTACATTTTGCCTACAAACACACGTGGTTGGGTTTAGGAAAAAAGAAAAGGGTTAAGCTTTACAATCATACGGGAAGTAAACATCAGCCTCTTCGGGTGAAAGTCATGGTTGTTTGATCCATCTACCACCCCTGTCAGACTTTCAGCACCTTAACGCCAGAAGTCACTTGCCAAGCGCTGGTTTTTGACAACTTCAGAATGAGACCAGGTTGAATTTGTATATTATTATGGAGCAGATACATTTACATGCAATGGTTAACATGTGGTGTGGCTCAGGCTCAGGCTCAAAAAACACTTGGTTAGGGTTAGGGTAAGATCAGATTTTTGCTTTAAATACCTGGTTTGATCTCCACAATCACAGCTGAAAGTGTCCCAAACTATCATTAAAAAAGACCTATTATTGGTCTGCTGCTTTCTTCTGCTTGGCAGCAGTTTCGTCTATATGTCTCATCATCCACCATCCCCCCCTCCTGCTGATGAGAAACTCAGCTCATATACATATATTCTGAAATACATCTTATGTATGAAATTTACAAATCTAACATATCCGTGGTTTGCAATGCCAACATTTGATTGTGGCGACTATGTTGTGGTCCTGATTTTCTGTGAAACTGTGTTTGCTGCTATCTGATCCTTCTCTCCCTCTCCCTGCAGAGTGAGTGCTGAGGGGCGGGGCGATCTCCGGGAGCACTGGGCTCCCGGCACACCTGCAGCTCGTTCTGCCTAATTAGCCGGCTTCTTAAGCCACACTCTCTTTGTCTTCAGTGCTGGATTATTCTCCTTGCTATAGTACTACGCTCGTGCTCTCAGTGATCTCCTGCCTCTCGCCACGTGTTTATGCTCCAGTGTTTGGTCTCCAGGTTTTGTGAGTTTTGTGCCTTGTCACTCTTTTTGTTGCACTTTTGTTCTTGCTCTTTTTCCCATGTTTATGGTGATTTTCAGTTTAGCCTTTTCTGTTGTTACTTTTCCCTCAGAAAGAGTTTTGGTTGATACTTTGTTTGCTTGTATTTTTTCTGTGAACTGATTTTTTTGTTGCTACTTTGTAAATAAACTACTTTTTTGTACTTAACTCTGCAACTGGGTCCTGGCTTCCTTGTCTGGCACTTAACAGACTAGGCTAATTCTGGCTTTCAAAGTAAATATTTTGCCAGTCATTACTTGATGACAGAAGCTTTTTGGGACAATCAAATTGATGCTTTCCCTAAATCAGAATGAATAACATTACATCATCATGACAAATCTGACTGTTCAGTGACAAACAATCCTCCAAAAAACAATCAAGAGAGCTAACTTTTGTATAACAGACACATTTTTGATGAAATTAATCTCAACTCAAATGTCTCTATAGTTTTCATCTCATGGTCTAGTTGTGTTAAGATTATTCTGTTAAACTATTATTTCCATTCGCTCCAACCTTTCACGCTCAAATGAAAACACTAAGGGATTTCAGGCTCCATAAGGACGTTTGTGCACAAACTCAAATTAGCAATGACATGATAAAGGATATGAAATATGTGAGATGGTGTAAAGGCAGGCATTCATGAGAGGCTTACACAACAACAGACCTCAGACAGCTTCTCATATTGTTTTAATGAATGATAATAAGCATATCTAAGAAAAGTTAGTAGAACCAAACAAAATTGGTGCATCTACAATTTGAACCCCACGGCAATTGAGCAATCTCAATCTGTTGATGAGGACCATGTGACGCAATAGAAAGATCCTGAACAAGCCTGTTAGTGGACCTTGAGTTGAGCTTTTTTATCAGCTGCTGCTTACAGGGTTTAGAAATAACTGTCAAACTCAATTTGATCTGGAATAGACTCATGTTTATCTTGTAGTTTTTCCGAATGCATTTCTAAGGAAGAGGATTAGGGCCACATGGGAAAAATGAATTTGAGTTCAAAGTTATGAAAACAAAGTAAAAATCTGAATTCTGACATTATAGTAAGACTTCGTCCACAAAATGATCATTTGTATATCAGTTAGTCATGCCATGTTACCTTGAATTTGTGAAGAAAATTCTGTTTTTCTCACGTCTCTACAAAAAACAGTGAACATACATTATTGAATTACTGATTGTTTGATTGGGTACGATGTTTAACAGCAAAACCGTTTACAAACTCTTAAACTTTCATGAAAACCTTACTTTTTAAAACTGAACTACAAGTGAAACTTACACTCTCTTCAAAGTCAGAAGTGCAAATAAATGTGTTTGGGAAGACGTGAGAAAAACACATTTTTCTTCACGAATTCAAGGTAACACAGTAAGACTAACTGATTTACACATGGTCATTTTGTAGGTGAAGTATTCCTTTAAAGTCAAGCTCATACATTTTTTATATTTGGCCCCAATCCTCTTCCATACAAATCAGTGTCTTCAATGAAGATGTATTTTCTTGGAGCTGCTGGATTGATCTGCCACTTGACATGCATGCAGGATATTTAACTTGTTTCAACAAAAATGTGAAATTTAAGTTTTTACACAGACTGTATTGAATTAAAATGACTAATTTCAGTCATCCTGCTGTATTTCCATCAGAATGATGAACTGATGAACTGACCTGACGAGTCGGTATGGCAGCATTTGTCCTTTGGCGCGCGTCTGCCCGGACACACCGACCATCCAGACCAGCAGGTTGAGCAGCACCACATCCGTGTGCATGGTGTCCAGCGGCCCGGCCCTCTCCAAAAGTCTCAAAACTGCAGGTTACTCCCGCAACTTTTCCCGCACAGGACGCGCATTCCGCACTCGCTTCGCGCCGTAAACATAGTGAGAATCTATACATGGATTCCACAGTATTAAACCTCACAGAGGAGGAGGAGGAGGAGGAGGGGGGGGGGGAGCAATTCCGCCGAAACCTACAAATCCTCCGCGTGAGATAGCTGGGATTTGTTTTGTCGGTGGAGTCTGAGCAGGAGCGCACAGCACGGTTTTTCCGCCTGGTGAGAGCGGAGTGCTTCACCTTCACATGCACAGGTAAAATGTGACAGCTGTGCAGGTCACGGGTCTGCAGGATCTGATCTGCATAACCTATTTTCCACTCATGGAGACAAAAATGATGAATGAATAGAAGTGGATGAGGAAGGCAATCTCTAACGCAACATATGGGATTTTTTAAATTCGCCTTTTCCACATGTTTTAGGCTGATGGATCATTTTGAATCGTGTCAGTGTGTATCATTTGGTTATTGAATTTTACAGACTTGATATAATTGCAGTGATGACATATAATCTGAAACATACCACAGTGCATTAGGGCCATTGTAGGTATAGTGTATAGATTTGAAAAGCACGTTACCAATTACAAATATTGTATAGTAAGTTATGTAACAGTCTCATAATCCAGGGTGAGTCTCCATGTGCACTGTAAACCTTCCCTGGGTCATAAAGCCAGAGGATGACTGCAGGCATGTCACTGGGGTTTTCATATACTGTACAGGACAGGTGCTGAAGCGGAAAATAAGAGGGCATCTCTCTCATTATTATTTATATATAAATATATGTTGTTGTTTTTTTGAAAAGTAACCTACTGTAGCACATCTGTTACTTACATATTTCTTTATTTCAATACCCACACACTCGTACATACGTATAATACAGATTTCTACAAAATTATTAACACACAAAGATGACTTTCCTTAGCATTCATTATTTCTTCATGGCTTATATCACAAGAACAGGCAACAATAAACAAAGCAATGCCACATCATGCATACTTTAGTGTTCTATAAAATAAATAACCATTCAGATCAACAAATCTTTACACAAAATAAGTTGAGTTGCACAACTCTTTTTAACAGTTCATATGCTATCCTATGAATTGATGTCCCATGAATATGGTTATGTACTAAACGTGAAGTTATGGAGTTTACGTTTAGGTCGGTAAACTTACTGTGGTTAGGTTTAGGAAGAAGAAACATGGTTGGGCCTCTTTAGGTTAAGGTGAGTAAAGTTACTGTGGTATGTTATGGAAAAGAAACATGGTGAGGATGTACCTTAAAATGACTCAAAGTTTACTCAAAGTTTACATGGTTCCAATCACCAGTGTCTTGGGGAAAGTCCTGTGTTTTGTGACCCATCCACCATCCCAGCCTCTGACCTTAAGGGACCACTTGCTTCTTTACTTCCATCAGCACATTTGCGACAATGATATTTTTCATCCTCTACAGTGTGCAAATAATAGTCTGTCTTCATTTTGTAGCCTAACTAAGAAATCACATCAAAATTTCTCAGTTGAAAGTCAATATTGTGAATCCGAGTGAAATATGGCCTAAATGTGGACGTTCAATCAACGTTTTCAAATTGTGGGTGAAAAAACATTCACTTTTGAACCTTCTCTGAACGTCTTTCCACTGTTACCATTTTAAATGCCTTTTAAACCTCAAAATGGTCACTGTAATATTTAACAGTAAAAGTGGTTCTGGCTTTAGGATGACAACTATAACAGCATACAAGTTACATTCTTAGTCAAACTAACACATTTACAGCTTCCATTTAAAAGATAAAGAAGAGCATGTGACACATGCTACAATACATTTGTATTTCTAAAGCAACAATTTAAATATCACATGAAAAATGCTCATTAAGTACAATTACAATAAAACAGAATACATAATTGATGCAGGGTCCCTCTGGTTTGTCTCTCTGGTTGGCGGAAGGAGATTGATATGGTGGAAACCTGTAAATAAAACAGGAATTAAAAAGAAATATATTTTCACTGAGAAATGGGTGAATGTCCATCAAGGGTTTGATACATAACTTTGAGCATAACTGTCATTTTTGTAATTGAGGTATGAAATGCACAATTAAAGATAAGACATTATGTTATATTACACAGTACCATTCTCAATATTGTTTGTATGTTGGTATATGACAAACTTTTTGGCCCTTGTTTCCTCATCACTTTGCTATAACATTATTAACTCCCTCACCCCTCCAATCAGTGTTGCCAGATCTCGCGAGACAAATAAGCAAGCAGGCTGTGAAAACAAGCCCAAAACAAGCAACTTTTTCTATGGAGCCCCCCTAGGTTCCAGGGAGAGAAAAATAAATAAACTATGTGCACGGTTTTACAATCCGTGGGGATGGATTTTAAACTGTGGGTACAGATTGTCAATTTACATCCATGTGGACAGATAAGTAAACTGTGCACAGTTTTGCAAAACTGTACCCACGGTACACAGTTTATTTATTTTTCTCCCCCCTGAGCTTCAGGACAATGACCACAAGAGGGAGTTAAACCACCTTTTAACATTATTTAACATTAGAAAACAGATGGGCTATCAAATATAGACCGATGTACCAAGTACATTATATACACAGTAAACCTCTGATAATTAAAATTTGCACACACAAATAAATATCATCCTGAATTCACAAATTCTTTATTTATTATTGCTTTTTATGCACTCATCTAACTTTTTTCTTTTAGTTACAGGACTAACGTTTTCCTAACCAGAAAAAAAACACATTGCCCTGCTCTGCCTCTGATTGGCTAGTACTCATTGCCATCAGGGTCAGAGCCAATTAGAAGCAGGATGCGGGTGGGAAAAAACTGCTGTCTCCTGTGTGTATGGGGAAAGGGGAGGGACAGAGGGAACAGGCAAGACAAACTATCCTACGTTTAAATAACATATCGAAAATATCTGCTTGACAACTTATTATGGAGCTGGGAACAAGCCCAAATAAGCAACTATGCTTTAGAAACAAGCCCAAAAAAAACGCGACCCGCGACTAACAATATTTGTAGGCGACTTTACAGAAAAACAAGCCCAAAGTCGCTTATAATAAGCGGACTTGGCAACACTGCCTCCAATCTATATGTATTTTTGAGGCAAAACAGCTTAAAAATTCAATTTTAGTCCCTGAGATCAACATGATTTGATTTCCCTGGTAAAATGGATAATTTTATGAATTCTGTATACAGACAACAACAGCCTTCTGCGCAAAATATAGTAGTTGGCTTTTAAAGGTGCACTCCAGCAACTTATTATTGCACTTCTGCAAAGTTGTGGGACTTACAGCAGACTGACTGACTGAAAGAATTGTCAAAATCAGTGCAGGAGAGGCCGACATATCCCAACTTTTAGCCTGTAACATCAAGCTCTAAAACACTGTGTGTCACAGTGTGCACTTCCAACCTGCAGTACTTGCCATTCTCTCAGTCCACCCAGTTAACTCCCACTCGTCTCGCTTCTCCACCACCTGCCAGCCTATGACCTGCCCACACATCTAGGCACCCACCTCATCAACTAACCCCACTCATAGTGGCTCATTACTTCCTGCCTCTCGTTGCCAGATTGTTCTTTGCCATATCCTTGCAAGACTTTCCAGTGTTTTTCCCCGGACTGCTTCCTTGTTGCTGACCTTGCCTGCCTTGCCTTGACTTTCTTGCTTCACTTGCTCCCTGGTAAACCACTCAGCCTTCTGTCCTCGACCAAGAGATCTGCGTCCGTGTTCCTGGTTTCTGCTGTGTTTTGTTCCCTGCGGCTGTGTGGAGAGACTGCCAGTCAGCTCTGCTTGGTGAGTTTACCTGTTCTGCTGCCTGTGATTTCCTGTGCTGTGGATTACCTTGTCATGTGGCTGCACATTCTGCCTTTGTGTGTGTACTGCAGAATCCGCTGGTTACTGGACTCCTCACCAGTTCTGACCAATCTTCAGCCGGCTCCTCTCAGTTGTGTTGGCTTCCTCTGTGTGCTCATCTGGTTTCGAACCCTCTGGTCCTCTGACATTGCCACCAGTCTTCTACCTCACAGTACCGCTACATACTATAGAAATGTTTTGATGTTGTGTGTCAAGCAGACGCTAGTGACTCGCCTGCACTCAGCTTCGGCATTCCATGCTGAGAGTTTTGGATTGAACTTGTGCTTCGGGAGGCTCAGACACAAGCTATTGACTCTCCGTGTTTCACCTGCTTGCTCATTCTCTGTTTGATAGAATGGTCCATTAAAGGTCATTATACACCATCCTGCCCGCCTGAGGTGCTGCTTTAGAGTCCAATACCCACCCGTCACACTGTATCCCATATTTCCCATAATTTAATTCAATAGTATCTCTCCATTAGAACTGCCCCCCCCCCATGTCTGGTTCCTCTTTTAAACTCCACAAACCCACTTTGTAAGGCAGATTTTCTGTTACAGATGTGTCCTCTCAACCATGATGATATCACTGGAGATTACACCTGCATGTAATATATGTGCTCATATTCAGTTTGTAATGTTTCATACTCACTGTTTTTTGCTGTTTGAACACCTTCAGTATGCTGTGTTTTCCATAGTGAGCCTGTGCATATTATGGAGCACTGTAGTGTTGACAGTATTAATGTCCACAGGGCAACAGAAGTTGATGAGCTCTGCTGTGTTGCCAGATATTCTGTCTATATGATTATCCAAAGGCACGCTCTCATTTTCCTTTGCTGTCCAAGATTATGTTTGATCCTTTTATATTGTTTTGATATATTGTTAAATAACAACATGGCAACAGGAAATGTATGACAGCAGGGCAGTCATCTGTGTGTGCAGACAGTCTGTCCAGTCAGAGCTCAGAGGGGAGCTTTTGTCTGTGACAACACAACACGGCCTGAATCCGTTTACACGTGTTGATCCATCACACGTCTAATGATGACAGTCCTGAGGGCTGTAGAAGTGTTGGACAGACTTGATA